CTGTCTTAAAACTTCATTTTTGATAAAGAGCCAAGTTTTATAAGGGCAGTTCCAAGGAAGAACAGAGGTGAAAGAGATGAAGCCCAAACAGTGTTGCTCCCCAAGAGGCTCTGTATTGTTCGCCCAGCGTTCTCTCTCATGCATACACCTTTTTTGTTTTAAGGAATTGCTATAGTCCTTGTTATTAAATATGTGCTAGTACCATCAAGCTTTTAATTTGTTCATAAACTCACCATGAATGATTTCTTTAGAGAGGACCAAATCCTTCAGGCAAACCTGAAGCAGAGAAAGGCACTGTATTGTATGTTCAGGTTTATTTTAATGTTTGGTTTCTATGAAGTCCACTCTTGCTTTCCCTGGGGCCTTGTTTTGTAGCATTTATGTTCATTTGGAGATCAATGCCTCTAAATTTTTACATTGTTATTATTTTTTTTAATCCCTAGGTACTACTCAAGTCTAGGCAGATTAAACCCTGTAGTTGTAGACTGAGTAGAGTTGAGCATGTTAAATATCAGGGAACTTAATGACTGCACAGTGAAATGGAGTTACCATTATATCGAGTTTGACTGAAACTTCAGGTTTTCTAACTTCTCCAGGAAGGAAACCATAAGTAACCAAAAGGGAAATAGTTTATCTTAGCACCCTGGGGTGGAGTGGATGGAGAAAGATGTGGCAGCTCGCTATGGGTTATGTCACTCCTACCTTCTTTTGCCAGGAAGCTACTGTGGGCCTTCAGGTTTCTGTGGTGTTCGGGGCACGTTCAGAAAGCCAGCGTGACACAGACAGTCAGCAAAGGTATAGCTGGAGAGACTGGGAAAAAGAAGCAGTGCTGTTGGTCCGCAAATTTAGGACAGTGGGAAATAATTTAATTGCCTTTCAAGTAGATTATGTGTTTACTAGAAATTTGTTTCCTTGAGTGTTTTGTTTATATAAACATGGAAAATTATTATAAGGATTGGACTCTGGGATTTATCACGTACTAAATGGGACGAGCCCAAACTACCCAAAGCTAGTAAGTGTTGCTGCTGCTACCATTCTCCTCCAAGAAATGGCTGCAGGGTCCAAATCACCTGTTTTTGTCACATTTAATAAATCCAATGTGAATCAATCCAAGTCTAGTTTATTGGCCATGAAAAGAATCTTACTTTAGACTGTACAATTTAGTGGATGCATTAGCCATTTTGAGTTTTTCCTTGTAATTTGTGTTTTCTCTCATTTCCTTTAAAAAATTTTTTTTCTGTTTCTTCATACAATGGACATCTTCATACAATGGCATTTGAAGCTTTTAAAACTTTTTTGCTCTTATATAAGGAGTTTTTACTCATTGTTCACCCCTTCAAATTTTTTTTCCTTATACTTGAAATCTTTTTTTTCTTAACATCTTAAAATCAGAGTCCTCCTTTGGTGTTATTTAGACCATACCATCTGGTTCCTTACAGATTTTGGAAATATATTACTAATTAAAACCGTACCAATAAAATCAGATTTGTCCTTGTTTTCCCAGTAATAAAATAGGTTCTGGGCTGGCCAAGTGGCACGTTGGTTAAGAGCTGGCTTGGGACGCCAGAGGGCCCGGGTTCGGATCCATCATATGAGGGTCAGTGACACTGCCCTCTACAGCTAAGATGCTGAACAACAGCTCAACCGGGAGCTGGGCTGTCATGAGTCGCCTGCTGAGGGCATAGGCTGCAGCCCCTGCTGCAGTGGGTTGCCATGGGCTACCGTGTGTAGCCAGCAGCCAGCATGAGCGACCAGCAGCCGCTGTGAGCGGCTGTCCAGAAGTTGGCGACTGATCTGCCTCATCTGGGAAGAGCGCAATGATGGTGCCAACTTGGGCCAGTGAAGCAANCTCTCTGGGAGAATAGGAAGAAACCAAAGAGACGGCGAGAGGAAGTCGCGGTGGCGCTCCGCCCTGCAGTATTCGAGACTGAGTTGGTGTTTGGTCGCTGGCCAGAGCCGGGCTCCACAGGCCACGTTAGCTGCGCCTGGAGCCGAGGATTTACGCGGAGCCGGGATGCTCCGGTCCGGCCAGATGGACGAGGAGCCGGCAACCCCGGTGAGGCGGCCTTGATGGCCTGGGGAGGGGACACTGGTGGCCCAGTGAGGTGGCACAGATCTCCCAGAGGGGATTGTTTTAGTGGCGGCCGGCTTGAGGACGCGGTTCTCCTGGCCCGGGGGAGATGGCCTTTGCAATCCTGGTGAGGTGGCACACACAGACCTCCCAGGGGAGGTAGTCCCAGTGAGGTGGCTGTGGCGATCCCGGGGAGATGACACATGTCTCTGGGGAGGTGACCCTGGCGGCTAGGGCAAGGTAACTCCTACGTTCCTGGGGAGGTGGCAGTGGTGGCCCTTTTGGAACCTGCATCAGGCGGCCCTGGTCGCTCAGGAAGACCCCAGGGGAAAGGGTCTGGGACCTCGCGGTCCTCCAGCGTATGTTCTCGTGCATGAGTTCCATTAACTACTTAGGTCTTAATGTGTTTGTTGCACTTGTTATTCTAGTGCTGCTCTGAGAGTGGTGATGACACGGAGAACTCGGAGGAGAAAAGTAAGCAAACTCCAAATACCTTAGCACTGTCTACCCAGCCAGCTCTCCAAACTCAGCCTTCCAGGGTCTGCAGCCGATAATGGTCTTACCCTGTTATCTTTTAAATGAAGTGTTTATTTTTCTTGTACAGTATGCTTGCATAGTATTAAATACTGATTATCATTATGCACATTTCCTTTTTGTCTTTCTAAAATTGTAAAATATGGGATGATTTGGAGAAGAGCACTTCCTGACCCCTATCTAGTGCAGACTTGCATGGTTTCACTGGAGTTCTGCCCATCATACTGATTCAAAATAATTGTGGCCTGCCTGTTATTTTAATGAAGCATCAACTTTTTAAGCATCAGGAATTTGGAGAGGCTAATGATCTCGGAGAGATGCCTATCACCTTAATTAGGTTCAAAGAAATCAAATGATCATTGTTTAGTTGTAAATGACCAGTGTTTGCACTGAGAAGTTGACCTGGAAAGAACACAACTGATAACTTGGTTCCTGGATCTTGGGCTGGACAAGAAAGAGGGAAAAGGCCAATACCCCCATTTCCTACCTTAGACAGGAGCATATGTCGGGGATATGGACATTTGTCATTTTACTTTAATGAGCTAGGCATGGCAGGCTTTTGGAAATCAAGGAATCTTCAGGGGCTTTTGAAGTGAAATTTATTAGGGGAGGAAGCAAAAAGCCTGTAACAGCTATTCCAACAGAGGGTTTTGGTTCTTCTGATCATGGCAAAAATGCTTTGGGAATGAGTAGTGGTAAGAGAAAAGGGTGCCCATGTTACCATGTTGGCTTTAGGAGTGAGGCTTGCCCTTAACATTGCCTACTGATATAATCTGCATCAGAAAGAAAGCTCTAAGTAGTCCATAGCACTTGACAATCATAGCTGCCACAACTCAGCTCCTTTTCCTCAGAGAATTTGAGAGTACCCCATATCTTTCAGTTAAACACTCCCCTTTTCCACCTTTGCCCATTCATGTCTTAGAAGTTGGTGCCTATTGAGCTGTCATGTTTGTAAAGTGATAGATGCAGACTATAGACTTTGTCCTTGTCCCTCCTTTGGCTTGGGCAACTTGTTTGCAATTTATAGGAGTGCTTGGTACAAAAAAATAGAGACTAGGAGAGATATAAAACACTCCAAATCACTAGTGTATTATTTTGAAGAACATAATTTGACTAAGAACGTACTATACTGCATTTAAGTGGTTATATCAAAAGAGCATAATTTTTTAAGAAGCGAAGATAGAAGTTACTCCCTAAGCTACAGCAACCTTAGCATTCGCAAAATAGTCCCTCTGCACATGGCC